GGAGTCAGTGAAGCGTTCATCCATACTCTCGGCTGCCAGTCCAGGTTGTGGTAGTTGTGTGGCTTGGTAATACTGGCATCACTACTGTCACACTCCGCACCTGACACTAATTTCTCAAAGACCTCGGTCCATTAGTGGTATGTGCTTGTTGTGAACAGCAGTGAGATGCAGTGTAGTGGTGACAAAGGATGAACATCTCCTGGGAGCAGCGTACTTCTCAATAGTAATTTAGCACATGCTTCCATTTGAAGGCTTTGTAGAACTCAAGACACCTGATACTACACAAATCAAAACGTTTGCTGTATCTGTGTCCGGGTCCTGTAGAGGTGTGGTGACGTTATGCAAAGGGTCTATCAAGAACCGACCTGAGTACAATTAATCAGGCGCGGTGGCGTGACTGTAGAAGCCGCAGGCCTTAAACATTTTCTGGCTCCAAACGTTCGCTACTTGTCGTGACTTCTTCTCTGCCCTCCTCCTTCCTTCCTCGAAGGTCCAAATCTTATGTCTGTCCTGTGACCGATAGAAGTTTGAGGTAAAAACGTGGCCTTAATTGTCAAAAGTGAAATTGAACCCTTGCTTCCTGGGATCGTTTTGCCAACTCCAAGTGCGCCTCTCCAATTCAGACATTTAAAGCACTTTTTTACACCTTACACAGTGTTCCTGCAGATATTGCCTCTCCTTTGGCAGATTAACAAAATTTTCAGTCGTCGTTGGTCTAACGTTCATTCTGATCTCCATCACATGTCTCAGATAGAGAATTTAGGCCAGATACGCAAATAAGACCTCCCGTGTGACTCGACTACTACAAGGTAGGCGCACGATAATGCTACACTAGTGGGTAGAAGCATAGCAAATTACTTATTTTGTCTTTGTTAAACGCAGACTACTGGGTAAAATTGACTTGCTTTCCAAAGTCGGCTGAAGTCAACCGTTTACTTTTCACATTGCTCATGAGCCACGAATATGAGAACGAGTTTGTATGGTAGGCAACATTCAAATCAGTTGTCAACTCAGGATTTAATCATCTGTTTGCAACTTTTGCTAAAAGTAGACTCTTTTGTTCTTTAATTTTTTTGTGCTTCTTTTGGTTGGAATATACAACTATTCGTTGGGGAGGTGCGTGCACAATGGTTGTTTGGGGGCGGAATTTTCTTGAACTCAGTAAAAACGAAACGGGGAGTAACATAATCCAAGCTCCTTATTTTCTGAGCACAAATTTGTTTGTAGACAGGTAGCTATATTCCATTTTTCGAAATATTTAAGCTGGATCACCTCGGTTTCTTGACTAAGCCAAATCTCCATTATCATCACCATTGTAATCGCTGTGAGTCAGTGGTCAGAGCGGCGCCACCTTGATGCTACTTTGGTCAAGAGATGTCCCAGTATTTGAAACTGGACCCCGTCACTTTCGAGATCATGGATAACATTATCTAGGTCACTGGAGACTTGTCGCTATTAATGAGTCGGGAG